AGTATATATATATGTGTGTGTGTGTGTGTGTGTGTGTCTCTCTCTATACTATATATATATATATATATACTATGTGTGTGTGTGTGTATATATATATATATATATATATATATATATATATATATATATAGAGAGAGAGAGAGAGAGAGTATATATACACACACACATATTATTGCAAGAATTTTAGATTTTTGTTAAAGGTTAAATAGGTCTGCAAGGGATTAAATTAAAGTTATTGTATGACCTATTAGGCAATAAATTATGTACATATATGTATGTGTATATGTGTTTATATTTGCATATTTATGAATGAATAAATGTGAAAACTCATTCATGTAGAAATATATTAAGAATTTTTGTTAGATTTTAGATAATTTACTCTTTGACTCCATAAAAACTTGTTAAAACTATATTTATCACCCAGTTGCTTTTTCTGAAACATAAATTCTTCTGTTATAAAGCTTAAACAGAAAAGGCTTTTGATTCAAGAGCTTTATACATAAAAATATATGCTCTAGTGTAGCTCAACTATTAAATGTACTTAAAATTTAAAACTATTGATTTATAGAATGTTGTAATGTGTTACTGTAGGAGGAACTGCTCAGTGGCTATGAAGACATAGTATTGAACCAGATCAGGCCAAAGTTGCCACTTATAATAAAAAATATCCCCAAAATGAAATTGTCGTAAGTATATATGTAACTTTATTCCCCATTTTTATGTAAAACTTTAGGTAACAAAAATTTCTATTTGAAATCATATATATCTGTAACTTGTGACTTAATAATATACATATCATGAAATTGTAATCCAGATTGGTCTAGTGGTTAGTATAATGGACCTAGGTGTGAATTGCATTGTGCTCCACACTATTACTGTGACAGTCAATCCTGCTATTCAGTTAAAATTACTTGCCTACTAGATTACCTTCTTTCTGGTCTGCATTTCTAAATTAAGTAAGGTTATTTTGCACAGATACTGTTCAAGTTAAAAATACCAAATGCCATGAAATTGCAATGATGATACAATATATATCATTAACTTACATTTGACTGCTGAAATATATGACACAGAATTATGTATTAGTTATATTTCACTCAGATTTTGTATCCAAAGTAAATTCTAGTTTTACCAGTAATGTTTTTTTTTCTCTTGTGAAGAAAAACATTACCGCTAAAACTTTCTTTGTTGACTTCTCCACAAATACTTATCTAGATTTGATCTAAGTAGACTGTTAGATTGACAATATTGCTCATTTCTATTTAAAAAGTATAAGATTATAAAGCATTTTTCGTATATTTGATCAGGATTTTGATTGTTGTTAAGAAGAAAGCTATGCAATGAGTTAGCTGTGCTGTGCTCACCATGGGTATTGAAACCCACTTTTTAGCATTATAAACCTTTGGACTTACCACTGGGTCACTAGAGGGCTATTTGGTTAGAAGATTAACCCAACTATAAATACGTTCCATTATAAAGATACATTATTTACAGCTCACTAGATTAGCCAAATATGTTCATGCAAAGTGATACTGGCTTGAAATATAGCTGCCATAAATATCATGTTTTAAAGATGAGATATTGCAGAGTTATTAATTATAAATTAGTTTAGCAATTTATAAGTAGGAGTGCAAATTAAGCATACCAATAAGAACATGAAATTTTACTGCTTTCTGTTTTAGACTTAGGAATTTAAAAAGTATTTGTACTTGTCTGGGCAGATACATGTGCACTAAGACATTATGAAATACAGATTGATTTTCATTTGGTGCTTATCTGAATTCTTCTGTGGAAGTTGTACACAAGTAGTAGAAAAATGTTTAAGATATGAATAAATACACATCTACGTATTCAGTACAATGACATAATTACTTAACTTACAGTAGGTTTCTACTTAATCCTTGCACAGTTTGACTGCACACTTTTACTTAATTTACAGTAACTCACTCCTTAATTGGTTTGATTCTAAATCCCCTGATTGTTATAAAAGTAGTGGTGTCTCCTATAGAAATTTTGTACTTAATTCTTGCACAGTTTGACTGCACACTTTTACACTACTGGGTAAAACAAAATGTATTTCCTTTAGAAGAGTTTACTAGAGGTGTGTTAACACAGCACTGAAGGTGTGAACCTTTATTTCTAGCTAGTAAAAATGTTCTTTTTTTTTCAAGTTTTTGAAATACTTTAAAATTTAGGCTTGACCTATTGGTTAATGTGTTCAAATGTGGATCTGAGAGTATTTTGATTAAGACATAGTTCTATCAATTACTTTTTGGGTGTGTTGTAAGAGTGACAGTCAACTCCACTATTCAGCAGCAACTGACTTCCTTCGTTCTAGTCCACTGTTAAAAATTAAAGATGGCTCTGATCACTTAGACCACTGTTAACAAGATGTTTTCAAGTGAACAAACACATAAAAATGTATGTATAATATGCTAAATGAATAATGCAGTTTAATTGATGAAATATTAATTTTTACTGTAAAATTTATATGTGCATTATTATGTATGTAACAGAATTGTAATTAATTTCTGTTGATCTTACAAAGTGAATATAAATGTATAAGCATATGTATAGAAATTCAAGAAAATGTGCTGTCTATATTGCACAATACAATAGTCATAAAGTAGAATATATATTTAATTTATTTATTCACTTAAGATAGAAAACATGTTGCAAGTAAATTACACTCTTCATCAGTTGTGCCTCTTTCTCTTACAACCTAAATGATATGAAGAACAACAAATGTAAATTCATACTTTCTGTTTTGTGAGTTCTTCCATTCTTCTGTTGATTGCTACAGGCTGCTTATATAGGCCTTATTTATTTTAAAAGTCCCTGCTTTTGAATCATCAGTTGACAGTTGTATTACATTTTATACTTCTTTCGAATACTTATATAAAAAAAAACTTATAGCTAACAGACAAAAAAGTCAATCTGCACAGTACTTGAGCTGATCAAACTCTTCAACAATACTAATTGATTTTATGATTTTAATCTTGTTTGAGACTTAACTTTTTAAGCTTCTTTGAAGTTAAGTATTAAACTTAATTTTATTATACAAGTTCTTATTTCTTTTTGAAGTTATGTGTGTTTAACATGAACCAGCAGAGATAAAAAAAATTCTGCGTACAGTACAGTAACTTAGAGACAAACAGTAGTTTTTAGGTGCATGCCTTTTCATATGATTAAACTTTTCATTTTTTGCTTATTATTTTGCCCAACAAATAATCTTTAATAATTTAATTAGCAGGCAGTGCTAACTTACCATTATTGTAAAGTGAGTACATGTGCAGAAGATGTGTCCCTCAATTCTCTGTTTTAATACATTTGACTCCTTTATGCATTTGATGTAGAATGCAACCCATAATTTTTTGTGTTTACTTGATTTTTTATTTCTTTTGAAGAGAGTGCTCTTTCGGTGTCTTTTTTTTCTTGAATCATCTGATTTATCTAATTCACCACAGATAACTTTTTGTACCATGAATTTCACTGTGCAGTATTTTACTTTGAGCATGATATTTTTGGTGATATCCCAGTTTTTGCAGATGGTGATACTTTTATTTTGTGAGTATACACATAATTTGTAAACTTTTTTTGTCCCATGGTGTACATATATTATGTCAGTTTTATTCTTTTGAGAATTTCTCTCTTTAAATGTATCAGAATATGTAATCTCATTACATGTATTTTTTAAGAATGCACAAAAAAGCTTTCTGTTAAATATCTTGCATGGTAATTCTTCCATATGCTTTGATTATAACATGTTCGAGTGTTGCAAGGTCTCCTCAGACTACTTTCATTATAAGCTGTAACCATCTGCTACAGATATCTGTTTTGTAGAGGTAACCAATATTGAACTTCTTTTTCATACAAAATGTACTTCTGTTGTCAGTTTATGCATGAAAAATATTTAAAGTGAAATTTATTAGTTAAAGAAACTTAATTTAGAATCAACTTTTTTGTTTTAGTATTATTCCTACACCTCCAACAATGTCAGGAGGACCTCTGGCCTATTATCTTTCTGGGGCAGAAGATGGTAGTAGACCAGGCACATTTTTTGTGAATACTGGTGATATCGCTGCCTCGTAAGTATCTGTTTAATTTTTCATACCAGCTTTGTATAAGGTTCAAATGATATCTTCTCTGTAAATTCACATGAAGTTCAAGTTTTTGTGAATACTGGTGATGTTACTGTCTCATGAGTATCTGTCTAATGATTCATACTAGCTTTATATAAGGTTCAAATGATATATTTTCTGTAAATTCACATGAGGTTCAAGTTTTATGAATACTGATGATGTTACTGTCTCACGAGTATCTGTCTAATTTTTCATACTAGCTTTGTATAATGTTGATGTGATATCCTCTTTGTAAACTCACATGAGGTTCAAGTGATATCCTCTCTGTAAACTCATGTGAGGTCAAGTGATACCCTCTCTGTAAACTCATGTGAGGTCAAGTGATACCCTCTGTAAACTCGTGAGGTTCAAGTGATATCCTATATATCTGTACGTACTTAGCTCTTTCTTAATGATTTTCAGTCTGAATACTTGATTTGAAAAGGAATAAGCTTTGTCCAACTTGCAAGTCTTTAATATAAAGTTTATAAGATAAAACACATTTTTTTATATTTTAAAAGCTTATGCTGAATTAAATAATAACTAAAAATATCATCATAATTATAATTTTTTTTTATAAATTTACAATAACTTTTTTCTCATCAAGAAAACCCACAGTTATCCTGGAACATTAAACTCTAAAATATCAAGGTAAAAGAAATGGAAGAAATGACATTTTTTTATACTTTTTAATCTTAACATTTGACATAAAATTAGCCACATACATTGTTTGAAGGACATTAGTTAAATTTGCTTCTTTTTTTTTTGCATATAGAAATGAAATTTAAATGTAAAATATTTGAAAAGTTTATAAAGATATGTGGAAGTGTTCTTGTAAGTTTAGGCATCATGGGTTCAAAAGGCTCTAAAGTGTACTGTGTAAGATTTTATTGTTAAATGATATGTATGTGATCTAGAAATTTTTGGTGTAAACTGGTTGTCTGTGATACGTGTGGCTACTTCAGTATCTATAATTTTGGTATTAAGTAAAATCTGTTCTTCAAACAAGTATAAATTTGATCCTGCAGGCACGAGATTTTTTCTAGAGATCAGTTCATGTCTGTTACTTTTACAATTTCTTTATTAATTTGTGATATCAGTACATAGTCCTTTGTGGAAAAGGGGTAATAGGAGACTATCTGTGGTTCTGTCAGTATGCAATGCTGCAATATTTGTGCTGATACAATACAAACACCATATGTGTAGATTTTCTAATGTAATTAAAACACTTCCATTTCAAATGGTATGTATATAAGTGTGAATAGTAATAGCCACCAATGAAGTGTAAACTTATTTTTTGTAACTCGAAGTATTTAAGTAAAAAATCCCTAAGAATAATTTCAAGAGAAAGCTACCTCTTCTAGCCACAAATGTGATGACAAAAGTAGCTTTAAAGGTAGGGTAAAGGTAGCTTTAAAATATTTTCCTCCCTTACTGTTAACAAAGAAAGGTTTCTAGTTTGAAGTGATGTATGAACGTGTACTGTTAAATCACTAGGGTTGTACCCATCTCTTCACAAAATGATACTGGTATTGATGAGCTGCTTTCATGGCTTATCTCTTAAGGATACCATTAATACCATAAGATATCAACTACAGAGTAATTCTAAAACTCTTACTGATTGGTGTTAAATGAAATGAAGAGACTGGACACAGTGTAACACAAAATTAACAATCTTTATTATGTAATGAAACACAATAAATATTATGATGGGATCCTAAATCATTCAGCATAAACTATTCTGCTGTGCAGACTTTAAAGTATGGTTTAGGGTGTGAGGCAAAGAAATTTTATATTTTTTTGAGAGAAAGGAATTCTGCACAATCCTGTTCAACATAATGTGTGTTATGATATCAAAGCTTCCATAAAGAAACATTGGCAAGAGCTTGAAAGAAAAAAGAAAAAGAGGGGAACTAAAAAATGGAAAGGCTGACTATAAAAGCCCAAAAGATATTAAATGCAACAAAAACTGGAAATAGCTGACCAAGGTAATAAAAGAAGAAGAAAAGTGCTTTAACATAATGAGATTTACAAAATCTAAGCAACATTATTAAACATGCACAATAAACTGCTCTGTGTAAATACTTGTAAGTATAATTTTGTTACCTAGTAAATGAGTAGAAAGAAGCATTTATTTCTGGAGTTTTTTTGTCGTAGTAAAAGAATTATAAACATGCTCTTAGAATGCTTCTTTCATTACATTTACATCAATAACTGAAAAGATATTTTGCCTTTAGCATCATCATTTTGGGTTTTTCTTTTTCGTGGTCAGCCAGTCTCATGCCTGTCTTGGTCTAGGTAATGTTATATCTTAAGTTTCAGAACACCCATCCCACTTTGCATTTAGTTCCTGACTTTAAATTGATTATCTCATCAGAGGTTTTGAATAAAATGTGGGACATGCCATTCCAGCAGAGTCCTTTGAATATGCATCATTCCTTTTAAAAACTAGGAATGAAACTGTTATCTAATATATAAGTCATGAAGGTATTGATTTTCAAGTGATTTCTACTAACTTTTGCTCAGATGATTAAAACAGGCTCATTTGTAGAAATCTAATTTGTGCAATGTTTTGGAAATACGCATTGTTGTATTCATATTCTGTTCCTCTTTTTCTGACTGGAGGTTGCAGATGTCACTTTCTGAACTAAACTGGATTATTCGTCCTTTGCTTATTATTGTGTTCCTTTTACCAGCATAACTTGAATCATCAAAGTGCTTCTATTAGGAAATTTCATGAACTGTTTAAGTACTTTTGATCCTTTAAGATTTTTAGATGAGTGGTTCTGATGATGGATTGTTGTAGGAAACATGATTTTGTGTGTGAGTTATAGCATGGCCAAAAGAAGCTGGTGTGCTAGATAGAGACTAATTCTTTTGAGTTAATTTTATTTATAAATGATGTAAGCAAAGTTTTGTAAGTGGTATGGTTTGGGAATATAATGGTTTTATTTCAGAGAGGAAAACTTAAAATGTATGTAATGCATTCTATAAAATATATTTCGATCCAACACTCCAAATGTTGCTGGAATTTCTAATGCATGTATTATTATGGAGGAAAAACAAAGCTGCACCATCAATATGGTATATATTTTGCAGATAAAAAAACTATTTGATTTTTTTATAAAATCAATAAATTTGTTGTAATATTAATTTATGTCTTATACTTTATATTGTTAGTAGGACTAAAACATTTTTTGTTGTTTCTAGACCTAAGTATGAAATGATGAGCCTTTCCCTTCATGAAGCTGAACCAGGTCATCATCTTCAGGTAAATACTAATAATAGTTTTCTTAATATTGTGTGATTCTGACAACAACTAAGCAGTTACATTATGTAGGTTTAATGCTTTAATAATACTGCATATTCAAACATTTATAAATAAATAAATACCAAATAAGGAATATATGTATATCCTAATGTTTTGCGAAATAAACAAAAATGTGCATATACATTTTTTCTTTTCTGGGGATGAAGATTGTTTATTTTTCAAAATGTCAAATTTCCCAGTCTGTAATATGTTCTTTTTAAATGATAATTAAGATAATGCAGTGGCTAGTTTCTTCATTTTTATAGAGCAAGAAGAAATATTCTTTTCCAGTAATTATTATAGATACACCCATTTTTTCTTCTTATGCCAGGAAAAGTTTCTTATTAAATTAAGTGCCATGATAAAATATTTGTTGTTCTGTAAATTTTTGTACATAGCTTTTGTTTTTAATTTTTCTTCAGTTATGTAATTCTGGATGTTATAAAGTTCTGTTTTTTCCTTTTTTTTTCTGGTTGTTGTGAAGTTCTGTTTTTTCCTGTTTTTCTGGATGTTATAAAGTTCTGTTTTTTTTTTACTTTTTTCCTGAATCTGCTGTCTTTGGTAGATTGTAAACAAAATACTTGTATTAAAATTATTAACTTCTGTCTTATACTACAGCTGTATAATCTGTGTTTGAATAGCTACACTTGTAGCAAAGATGACTTGTCATTATTAATGGAAAATACATAAGGAGGAAGAAAGAAGCTTAATACAACAAAACAACTTCAATCTAGTTAGGACTTTTACATACCAGGTTACACATATATTGTCAAATATACATTTATAATTTCATGTAAAAAATTAGGAGTAACCATAAAAAAACAGTGCTAATTCACAATGTTCTTCATCTGATACCTTAGTAGTGTTTTTCTAATGTTTGCTTTATATAAAATGATTGTGAAAGAAAGAATTATCTGGGTTAGTGGTTATCATTGTAATAGATCTACTGCAGTAATCTGTTTTAACATTATAACAACATATTTTCTATAGCATAAAATGTTTATATTATTTGTGTATTGTGGTATCCAATAGATGTCATGTTTAATAGTCCTGTTGGTTCTGTAATGTATAATTATGTTAGACTGCCTATACATATTTATTACATTTTTTGTTATCTCTACAGTCATCTTACATGATTGAACAAACAGGGGTACCAGCATTCCGAAGAAATATTGAAGACAGGAAATATTCAGATGTTCCCTCCCGATTTCCTTTACATACAGCCTATCTGGAGGTATTATAGCTCAATTCTTGTTTATGAATAATTTTGGACATCAAATTATATCAACAAGTTAAGGATTCATTGTTCCAAATCTTCAGTTTCTTTCGACATTGTTATAGAATTTTTTGTTTTTTTTAAATGAGTTAAAAGTATAATGGACAATTGAAAAGTTTTAGTATGTTATTTAAGATTTTGTTTTTAAGTATTTGAAGATAAAGATATTGGCTAGGATATATTTATATTTTATACATCTTCACTCGACAAATATACCAATAATGTAATCATTGTTTGAGATAAGCTTTGTATTTGGCATTTTAATGAATGATTGCAGAGTGTAGATTTTTGTGTTCTATATATATATTGTGTTCTTTTATTATTTAGGACAATGGGTTATTGAGATACTCCATGAAAAAATAATATGTCATACAAAACATTTTTACACTCAGGTTTCTTATTCATAGATACTATGAATGCCCACACTAACAGTATACGGAACTTATTATAACTTGATTGATTATTTTAGGGTTGGGGTCTGTACAGTGAGTTCTTGGGTCATGAACTAGGTCTGTATGAAGATCCTTACTTTTTGTAAGTAAATGTAAATTTATTTCATTTGGTAGACATAAAGCAAACTTTTGTCAATTTTGAATTATTAAACAATTTGGAAATTTCAAAACACATTCTTTCCTCAAATTATCATAAAATTTTTGAAACCAGTAATATTACATCATATAATTTAAAATTATTATAAATTAGTAACATTGCAATTAGTGTAGGATTAGCTGTTTCTTGTTTAATATTTTGTAAGAGAATTTTTATATAACAAAAGGGCACTGTTGCCTGGGCATGTGAAATGCTTTTGCCATTGACCTTTGTATTCATAAATTCTCAGCTGGGGTACAACTTGTTGCAGGTCTCTTTCTGGATGGCCCTAAGTTGATCCATGTTCCTTTATTTCCAATGCCATTAAGTAAAAAGGAAATCCTTGTCCTTGGAAATTTTGATTCTCTAATCTTAACACATCATTATGATCTGAGAGTATGAATATTTTGCTTCTTAAAAGAGCTGTTACATACCTTTTCCAAAAGCAATCAATTTTTGGTGGCATCACATCACCTGTGAAATTCCAAACAGTATCAAAATGCAGTTTTGATACATGCACTTCCACTGTGACTTTGCATTGGTTGTGAATGTCACATGACTTTTTGATTTGTGTATTCATTATCATGTTCATATATGTGCTCGACTCTGTATCCCTCAAATCAAGAATAAAACATATCACTTGAAATCATAGAGCAAACATATGTATGACATTGTAAGCATTTTATCTCTTAAATATTCAGTCTGCAAGTCAATGGGACTGAGCTCAGTGGATTGGATTGGCTACAGTGGTGTCACAGTTTCCAGCATTCATGTTGGAACCAAGAAATATGTACTATGATAAGTTGCTTGATCTGTTAACCTAAAAAAACACACTTTGTTACCAAAAGAACTTATCTCTCAATAGTGTTCGGTCACAGAGATACAGAGTTTAGGAGTTGGCCGGAATTTGTTCTCACAAAATATAGTAGAAATGTTCATGTTCAGGTAGATACTGCACTTAGCAAGATTTGTTGAGCCTTCCTCGGCCATCCTGTCAATAGAACTCACAAAAGCCACAGAGAAAATGGTTTTATAGAGCTGAAGAACCAGATATTGCATTGCCTAACATGCACAATCACTACCGTATTTGTGTGAGATTGTGGATTAGGGTTTTATTTACTCCCTCATAGCCAAGAAACTGTTGTGAATTTGTCCATGCTGGTGAGCAATTCAGATTCCAAATATCGCAAGAAGAACAAATCTCTATTCAGGATTTGATAAAGGAGAGTACCAGGAAATTTTGTTTCGGACTAAACCCACCAACATGTTTCCCTGACTTGCACATATGGTGTTAAGTAGACTCACTGTAAAAAGAGAAGGTGCAATGCACATATCAAAACGTTTGACAAAGTATAACAGTAAGAAAGTATATAAACGTATATAGGCTGACTTTTAATTTAACATAGACTTTTATGTCCTGAATAAAAGGAGTTGAAGACTTCTTTCATAAAATATTTTGTGTTTAATGCATTTTTTCTTTGGTTATAATAAACATACATATTGTTTTTCTGTTTTGTTTTTACTCAGGTTAGGTCGTTTATCCCAAGAAATATTTCGAGCTTGTAGACTTGTTGTGGACACTGGAATACATGCTTTTGGGTCAGTTCAGTTGCTTCTTCAGAAACAGAGGTCAATTCTAGATGTTAAAAATAAACTATGACATTACAATTTCAACTTTATTTATGATAGGAAATTTGTGTTATAGAAATACATTGAATAATGGTTGTTAACAAAGTACAGCTTATTTTAATCATTAAAGACTACTTGTTTCTTGTGTTAAATGTTACTGGTGTGTATAACTATTGAAGTTTTTTTTCTTATGCTTTCAAGCATTAACTCAGTTAGTAGTGTGTTTCTTTTCTTTAAAATTTAGAGCTTTTTGTGAAAATATATATCTAACATTATCAGGAATCTGTTTTTGAACTTAGATGGAGTCGTGAAAAAGCTATCAACTTTATGTTGGAACATTCTGCAGCTACAAAACAAAATATTGAAAAGGAAGTTGATCGTTACATAACTTGGCCAGGCCAGGTGAGCCTCTAGAAATATGAAAAGTTTAATTTTAAAATGAAGAAAAATAAACATGCATATTGAATGCTTGTAAAGATGGGTTGCTGTTGATGTCATTCAGTTTCTAATGTGGTTTAACAACATAGTGTTAGTTTTTATTGTATTTTAGTAATGATCACTATTAGACTAAGAATTGATTGCAGGCTTTGAGTGATATAAATTGTATTTTAATTATCATTGTCAAGCATTTATAAGATTTTCAAGTCTTGAAAAATCAGGCTTATGTATTTTTTCTGGGGTCATACACATGTATATACAGTAATATGTCATTGAACAAAACTTGTTACTTCAGGTAAGGTCACAAAGATTCCTGCACATTTTTTTATTATTTCATTTTACTGTAATAGAATTGGCATGTATATGGAATAATTAATATAAAAACATTTATGTAAAATAGTATTTACGTTTCTTGGAATGCATGCTGTACAATTACATTGATGCTTTAAACAATAATTGTAACTTTAATATTAAAACTTTATTTGTGTTACTTTCCTTAAATTATTGTGATTACATCATATCCTAGAGACAGCTTACAAAGAGCAATTACGAAAAATAACTAATTTTTCTATTTCTTCTCTGACCCGTATTCTCACTTCTTTTTTTTTTCTACAGCACTTCACAATTAAAATATATGCCCTCATGAATAAATCTTCATCCCAACCCTAATCAACGTCAAAATTAGATGTGCATATTTTAATGTTTCAGTTTGAATATGAAAAAAGTTATGAATTCATAGTTTGCTTCTTCAAGTAATGAACTTGCACATATACAAGTTAATTTTTTTTTTTGATTTCAGGCTTGTGCATACAAGATAGGAGAACTTAAAATTAAGGAACTAAGAAACAAGGCAAAAACTCAACTTGGTAAGATTAAGTTATTTTGTTTGATATAGGCTAAATCTTTATAAGAAAAGAATCATAATGCACAAAGTATAAACAGTGCAAGGTATAGTAACTATTTCAAATATTAAAGAATTAAATATGTAGGAAATACTCTTAAAAAGTATAATAGTAGAAAACATAGAAAATCAGTTTAGCCTTATGAAACTGAAATTGCATTGAATTTTACATATTTATGATATATATATATATATATATGTTGCTGATATGTAACCTTGACAACTATAAAATATATTTATCATTGTTCTTTGTTTGGCAACATTTTATAAAAACTTAGATAGTCATTGTAATCAACGCTTGCACAATGGTTACTAGTTGCTATTTTAGAGACAAATTTCAAGATTGAAAAACTTTCACTTACAAATCTCATGTTACTATTGAAAGTTATATTTCAAACACAGATAGAAAATAGTGATTTATGAAGAAAAAATATGATTAGTAAATCCACTGACAAAATTGCAAAGTAATACTTGACTGTAAACAAATGAAATAATTTAACACCAGGTTTAGAAATGTAATATACGTGTAAGTACATATACTGTATTTAGTATGTGCTTACCTGAAATAATTTAACACCAGGTTTAGAAATGTAATATATGTGTAAGTACATATACTGTATTTAGTATGTGCTTACCTGAAAGGTATAGCCTCAATGTAGATACATCTATAGCATTCAGTATGTGCTTACCTAAAGGCTATAGCCTCAATGTAAATACATCTACAGTATTCAGTATGTGCTTACCTAAAGGCTATAGCCTCAATGTAGATACATCTACAGTATGCAGTATGTGCTTACCTAAAGGCTATAGCCTCAGTGTAGATATATCTACAGTATTCAGTATGTGATAGCCTGAAGGTTATAACATCAATGTAAGTATATCTACAGTATTCAGTATGTGATAGCCTGAAGGTTATAACATCAATGTAAATACATCTACAGTATTCAGTATGTGCTAGCCTGAAGGTTATAGCATCAGTATAAATACATCTAAAATATTCTGTATGTACCTACTTTTAATTGTGTTATTGTGATCAGTATTTGAAACATCACTGATTTAATTACAGTTTAAGGTGTTAAATGCTTTTGAGTTGTTATTTTCAAGTCATACATTCAAAATATATGTTCCATTAAGTAAAATAAATTCCTCACCTTGTTTTAATTTTTAATGTAAACTGGGTGAGTTGTAGTGCACATGTTTGTAAAAAAATCAAACTAAGGTGTTTTGTGCTTCTGAAACAGATGCTAAGTAAAATATTGGATGTACAATACTTTGATTTTTAAGTAATTTTCCTGAACAGTGAAAATTTTAATGAAATGTACTGCTATATATATATATATATATAACAGAATGGTACATTTCAAATGTGTTTTGTAACATTAATGAATTCTAATAATATTTCCTTCCTATATTTTTATCTGACAAGTGTTTAACTGTGTTTTTTTATTAATTGTAACAACTTTGGCAACACATTTTGTGAGTTTAATAGTAGCCTTTTCTAACACAAGGGTAGTAGTTTTTAGTTAGAGTTTCACAATAAAATTGGCAGACTAACATTTCAAATATGCCAAAAAATATTTAATAGAACTTTTATTTGTTTTTTTTATCGTAAAGATGTCCTATATTTTGTTGTAATCACTAAGTTTTAATTATTTAAAGCTTATGTTCATAAAAATATGTATAAGCCATTGGATAAATTACTCCTCACATATCTGTAAGAGTTTTGTATTTTCTGTTTTTATCTGATCTTTTGCTGAAACCAGATATTTTGGGAATGTTAGTTATTTGTGCCAGGATTTCTTAAAATTAAATGTAAATTTTCCTGAAATTTCCTCTAAATCCTGATAAAAAAATAAGGTTATAAATTACGATTATAAAGTCTTCTAACATCGTAACTAATAGTCTGTTTTTGAGTGATCAGAAAATCTTCCCTGACTATCTGAAGAAACCTCAGAATAAAGAGTTCCAAATTGCCAACTGAAAAAGAAAGTTTTTTTACAACCTCTTTGAATGAACACCAGTAACAATACCTTTATGTGATGTAGCAAGCAATATAAAAATTTGGACATTATTATGCTTTATTTGTGGGTTCTCAATAGCTGTTGTGTTTTTGTTTTGGTGAGAATGGTATTATTTTATTATTATTATTAATTGCACAAAGCAATGTACTGTTTTTCTATCAAAGAATGAAAAGTAGAGATAGTAGAAGTATTTCCTTAGAGTAAGTAATCTGGAAAATATAATTAGAATCATTATAGTTTATTATAGGTATAATCAAAATTTAATACCATTACAGTATTGAAGATAGATTTTGGTGTATACTGGAGAATTGAATAGAATATATAGTTATATGTCACTATATATATATAGATATAACAAAACACTGGAATATTAGACTACTCTATTT